CGTGGGCCGGGTTAGGTCGCCAGGGTGGGGAGGCTGGGCGGTCCCGGGCCTGGACTCAGCTCCTGGCACCCTGGCAGGATGTACACGCTGCTGTCGGGGCTGTACAAGTACGTGTTCCAGAAGGACGAGTACTGCATCCTGATCCTGGGCCTGGACAATGCCGGGAAGACGGTACGCTTCCCCCTGTCCGAGGCCCCGCTGGCCTGGCCCTTGCACTGCCTGCTCCGAATCCAGTCCCCATCCAAGGCCTTGGGACACCCAAATTCATTCCCCACCCAAGGCCATGGGACAGTCCCCGCCAGCTGCTTTAACAGCAAAACGTCTATTTGCGGAATAAGCCTGAGGAGGGACATGAACGCCTCCCGCCTGTCTCTCCCTGTCCCGCAGACCTTCCTGGAGCAGTCAAAAACCCGGTTCAGCAAGAACTATAAGGGGATGAGTCTCTCCAAGATCACCACCACCGTGGGTCTGAACAGTAAGGGCGCTGAGCGCGGGGGGTGTGGGTCTGAACAGTGAGGGGCGCTGAGCGCGGGGGGCGGGGTCCTAGCCCAGAAGGCGCTGTGGCATCCTTTGAGGCCACCCACTCCTGGTGGGCCCACCTCAGGAGCACGGGAGCGGGGTGCTGTTCGCAGGGGAGCGGTGAGACTGTCATGGACCGGGGCCACAGCCTCACCGGGACTCTTCTCTCCCCAGTCGGCACTGTGGACGTGGGGAAGGCTCGACTCATGTTCTGGGACTTAGGGGGGCAGGAGGAGCTGCAGTCTCTGTGGGACAAGGTGAGACGGATGCACAGGCCACCTGCCTCCCACGCCATTTCCCTCCAGGTGGCACCCTTGTCCAGTCCCCGCTTTTCCAAAGGGCCTCAGACTCACCTTCTTTACTTCCTGTCAGCAGCTCGGTCACCCTCTTTGTTCCTGAAGCTCCCCCCATTCTACCCTGGCTCCTGCAACAGTCCCCTGAGGGTGAGGATCCACTTCCTTCCTTTGGGCGTAGAGGTGTTGCTAATGAACATAGGGTGAGACCAGGTGGCCCAGAGCCAGTGGTGGGGGGCACAGTGCCAGCGTGCTCAGCAGCTTCGGCCTGGCCTCCCCACTTGGCCCTTCTCTCCGTTCCGGCTTAGGAGCATCCTCCAGAGTCAGGCCAAGATGTCCTCACGGGCCCACGCCACTGTCTCTTTTGACACAGGGTTTGGGCATTTCTGAGGCAGTGGTACCCTTCCCCGCACCCCAGGCACGGGGGTAGCAGCGAGGAGGACAGACCCAGCTCCTGCCCTTCGGCAGCTCCCTCGGTGAACTGGCACGATGGGCATGCTGGTCTAATGTTGGGGGCACAGGCATGTCTTCCCGACACTTACTGGTGGCCCATGTGTTTAGAACTGAATGGCAAGGTCCTGATTTCTGGTTTGATCCCAGCAACAGGTACCCAGTCACCCTTTCCTGTCCCCGCCCCCCCCCCCAGTGTTTCCTCCCACCTTGACTTCCAACCAAGAGGGCAGCTTCTGTCTGTGGCCAGAAGGCTTGGCCATTAAAGCTCTCCTGAGGCAGAGCCAAGCTCGAGCCTACACGTCTGAATCCCAGACCATGTGGGGAGTGAACACAGATCCTGACCTTCTGTTGTAGGCCAGGGTCTCCAGAGCTAATATTGAGGCAGAGGTTGGGATGCAGGGTGGGTGTTGGGGGTCAGCACCTGGGAAGGGAGTGGGAAGGTGCAGGACTGGACAGGGCGAGGTCAGCCTGGGTGGGGGCCAGTGGGGAAGCATTGGAGGCAAGTTGTTCCTCATGCTGCCCAGGTGGGCCAAGCTGGCCAGGACTCCCTATCACCTGGTGGGCCACCTGGTAGGCTGCCCTGGGCAGCTGTGACCTGGTAATGTGGGTCCTGCAAGAGCCAACAAGGGTCTGTCCACTTGGCATCCTGCCCACCACTGGGCAGTAAGGCCTCAATGGGTGACCGTTTCTGTGGAGGCCTCCTGTGCCACTTGAATTCACGCCTCTGCTTGGGGGATGGCTCCTCCAAGTCCCAGGGCTCTGCTAAGGGGAAGCTGGAAAAGGGACAGGAAAGGGAGGACTATAGGCTGGCTTTGCAGTTGGTGTGGTCCCCCCTTAGCTACCACTTGTGTGTTGGTGTGGCCTCCTCACGAGGGTCTGAGCCCTCTTTCTTGGTGGGCCCCATGGGTTCCTCAGGTGCTTCCTAGCCCCGCTGTAGAGTGGCACCCTACCTCTTGTGGTAGGGTCCGTTACGCCCACCAGGATGGGCTCTCTGCCAAGATGCCCAGGAGGCAGCCAGGGTTTGTGGCCCAGAGGGTCTCCTGCTGTGACACTGCAGTGACCAACTCTGCCGAACCCAGCGCCATGGGGTGGGTGGCCGAGCCCTGTGGGCAATGGAAGTGATGAGCAGGGCCCATGCCCCTCACCAATGCCTAGATAGGCCATGTCTTCCCACACAGGGAGACCACCTGGCGCTTGGCCACAGGAGGACTTCTGGCCTCTGTCCCTCTAGGCTACACCCAAGGGACTGGTGTGTGTCCACCCAAAAGCCACGCTTGAGCTCTCTCCTGTTCCCAGTGGTTTTGTAGGTTCCCCCACATGGCCATGGGTGACACAGCCATTGGGTTGGGGTGTGGCGGGTGTCGTGGGGGTGGGGCAGCCTGCTCACACTCCACCTCAGCTGTGTGCTCATCACTGAGCCGTCACCCTACCAGGGCCCAGACACGCTGGGAGTGTAGTCTTCTGCCACCTCGTGGCTGTGTGCGATTCTCACCGGCTGCCAGCCCCGGAGTGAGCGGCCTCCTTTCTGCACAGAGGCCTCTCCTGTGGGCCCGCCAGCTCTGCCAGCAACAGGCCGGTGTGCCCGGAGCAGCTGTAGCCGCACGTCACTCAGCATGCAGGCTGGTGTGCAGGGTGCACAGCCTGCAAAACCCAGGGCCGCCTCTAGCAAGTACTGATAAAGGCTTGTCTCGGATGGGGCGGGCGTCGCTCTCAGGAATGTTCCAGAGTGTCCTTTGGCTTGCTGACCACTGGGTCATCCTGCCCAGTCCACAGCACAGCCTGGCTGTGCCGGGTGACAGGCAGGAGGGGTGGGGCCCAGTGGCAAGGTTCTGTCGTCTGCTCCCCAGTGTGGACATGGCCAGGGCTCTTTTCTGGTTGGTGCAGAATGTGGACTCGCCAGGTCTGTGGCTGTCTCTGGTGCCCCAAGCCCAGAGAGCCCATCTCACAGAAGGCCCTGCTTTTGTGCATGTGTCCCACTCGCCCCCACAGCCCCGGGCTCTGGCAGGTAAGAGTTGGCAGGGGACTCCCGTGACCCTTGCTGTCAGCAAGCCCACGGCCGACCACCCTCTGGCACCATCCAGAACACACAGCTCCCAGCTCAGCTGGCTTGGTCCTTGGCCCTGCCATCCGGCACAGGGCACAGAGCTGCTGCACAGGTGGCACTGGCCTAGCCCTTGGAGGCCTTTCTTGGTTTGCTTTCGGTGCCAGTATGAGGCCCCACTGGTGCGCTCCACCTCCGGGTCTGCTTGGGGACCGGCTTGGTCTGGGCTCCTCCAGCCTCCAGCCTCCAAGCCCCATTTCTCCTTTCGGGCCACCATCAGGCCTGTGGTTATGGGTGGCTTTTAGGAGCCGGCCCTGAAGTAGGATATGGGACACAGCCCCTAGGAAGTGGTCAGCAAGTCCTTCCTTGAAGGGGCCTGTGGGGCGCACCTCCACTCCACCCTACCTCCCCACCCACAGAAGGCACCCCATATAAGGGTCTTGCAGTTGGGGGTTGGCTGAATGCCCATGGCTCACCCCCTGCCCCTTTGCCCTTCCCCAGTACTATGCTGAATGCCACGGTGTCATCTATGTCATCGATTCCACAGACGAGGACAGACTGTCGGAGTCCAAGCAAGCTTTCGGTGGGTACAGCCCAACCGGGGCTGGGGGGCTGTTCATGTCCAGTCCGCACATCCCATGTGTCTGGAGCTGGGCCATGTCAGGTCAAAGGGTCCTGGCCATGAGGGAGTGTCCCCGCCTGTGAAGAGGGTGGTAGGAATGTATGGACTCCTTGGTGTGGCTGGGTGGTCAGGGGGACAAAGGGGGAAAAAAGGGTGCTAATGCCCCCTCTTGCCTATTCCAGAGAAGATGGTCATGAGCGAGGCTCTGGATGGTGTCCCCATCCTGGTGCTGGCCAACAAGCAGGATGTTGAGGTGAGCCTGCCCCCACCTTCCTCGGACACCCTGCATGGCGGTGTCTGCCCCAGGTGCACAGAGCTCTCCTGAGGCCTCTCCTGGCTGTGCAGGGCGCTTTCTCTCCACAGGGGGTGGGGGGGTGGGGGGGTAGCTACACCCTGTCTCTCTGCAGCCCTGGGAGACCCAGATGACCCGCAGAAAGCTCTGGAGAGAAGACAAAGGTGGTGTCTTCAGGGCGGAGTCAGAGCTGATGCCAACCTGTCTGCTGCTCTTGGAGTTGGCAGCGGTGCTAGCCCTACTCCCAAACCAGGGGCTGTCTGGGGAGGGACACAGGCCATTCTGGGGACCACCAGTCAAGGGCTGTGCGCAGGGTGGGTGTTTACAGCATCCTGAGGGTGCATCTTAGTTTGCTCCCATCCGCCTGCTCGTAGCTGTCTGAGGCCACTCACCAGGTAGGACCCTCCTGGGCAGAGAAGCCCTGAAGGGCCCACCTTGGCCTCCCATCCTGTTCTCAGCCCCCATCTTTGAGCTCTGGCAGCTCTAGGGACTGCCCTGGGGACCAGTTTCTCTGATGCCAGGAAATGGCCTCAGGAGGGATGGGCTGTGCCTTACAGCCTGCCCCCCCACCCCCACCCCCCAGACTTGCCTCTCCATCCCGGATATCAAGACTGCGTTCAGTGACTGCACCTCCAAGATCGGCCGGCGGGACTGCCTGACCCAGGCTTGCTCAGCCCTCACGGGGTGAGTGGGGCCCTCACCCTGCCCCAGGGTCCCGGGTCGCCCCACCTCATACCTACTGTCTCCACAGCAAAGGGGTGCGCGAGGGCATCGAGTGGATGGTGAAGTGCGTCGTGCGGAATGTGCACCGGCCGCCGCGGCAGAGGGACATCACGTAGGTGCAGCCGGCACCTGGAGCGCGTACAGCTGGTGCCTGAGCCAGGAGCACACCTGCCAGCTGGAGCCACCAGTCCCGGGGCTGGGGCTGGCTTTGCCTTTGGATTTTTTCATTTGCTTTGTTTTTTCTCTAAGACAGACTTTTGTGTCCTGAAAAGTGTAGGTGCCCGGAGGCTTCTGCCAGGGGAGTGGGGGCAGCAAGGCCCACTCAAGGCCTGGTTTTTGGCCCTGTGGGTGCCCTTTGGAGCTGCTTGCCCCAGCCTGGCCTGGGTGGGGCTTCAGGAAGCCCGGTTGGAGGGGGGTTTTCCATCCACAGCATGCCCACGAAGCTCGGCCTCTGCCTCCTCTGATCATGGAGGTGGGCTGGGAGTTGGTGTCACCTTGAAGGAGGCCTAACCCACATCCCCGAAGGCCTGCAGGTCCTGGGCTCTGGTGCAGCCCCAGGACTGGCTCGGTGCGATCTGCCTAGCCATGTGGACCCTGCTGCCACCACCACCACCGGCCCACGTCAGGGAGCAGAAAGCTGGGAGTGGGAGGCCCCTAGCGCACCTGCCACCACCTGGGACAGCCACGGCTGCCAGCTCAGGGATGCTCAGGGATGCGTCAGGGCGTGGGGGTGTTGGGAGGTGGGCTGGGTCCCTATGTTGCCCCATTGGTGCCTGTGCTCCCAGCTGAGCGTGAGGGGTGCATCCCCTTCCAGGCCTGTGCGGGACAGCCACTGCCAGCTCAGGGATGCGTCAGGGCGTGGGGGTGTTGGGAGGTGGGCTGGGTCCCTATGTTGCCCCATTGGTGCCTGTGCTCCCAGCTGAGCGTGAGGGGTGCATCCCCTTCCAGGCCTGTGCCCAGCTGCACAGGCCCTCCAGGCAACGCTGGTCCTGGGGCCCCTCTTCACATGGCCCCTGTGGGAGCTGGTGACCAGCAGCCTGGCCAGGGTGCCTGTGCAGAAAATAAAGACAGTCTGCGTGGCCCCTGTGTACCCTTCTCCGAGCCTGTGTCGTGGCCACAGCCCAAGGGCGTCCAGGCCCTGTTTCCTGCTGTCCTGGGAATGGCTGGGCCATAGCCAGTGACCTGCTGGCTTCATGTTCCAGGGAGGTCCCACCAGCCTCCCCTCCCTCCCTCCCTTCCTCCCTCCCCAGAGGAGACCTGAGAGGAGCTGCTGGGAAAGGGATGAGTCAGGGATGGGGCTGGGGACCCAGTGGCAGGGGAAGTGACTCATGGGAAGTCCTGGGCCTTTGGGGAGGTGGGGGCAGCTAGGGCTGGGAGTCCCATCCCCCACCCCTCCACCCACCCTGGAGCCGTTTAGTCCCTTGTTCCCTGGGTTCCCTCATGTGAGGGTGTGATCCTGCCCCGAGGGAAAAGCCATTTCCCAGAAAGCTAGTGGGACACTGGTCTCCTGGGAAGTCCCCTGCGGTAGGGAGTGGGTGGGACTCAAAGGGAGGGGGGCAGTCGCTGAGTCCTCTTTCACAGCAGAGCCCCTGGACTTGGTGACCCTCCTGGGCACTGCCACTCCTTGACTGGCCCTGACCTACCCTCCACACTCCCAGCTACCCAGAGCTCAGCTTGGGGGCGGGCCATGGAGTGAGCCTCAGCTCCCCTGTGCCCCACAGCGGGAAGGCCCCACCTCCCACCCACTGGCCACTTCCCATGATCTCCCTGCCCTCAAGGTCTGCCTCAGTCCACCACCGTCACACAGCACTGTTCTACACAATCGATTTTACAAAAGGGTTTTATAAAAACTACACTTGGTGCCTGGTCAGGAGAATAAATATGGGGCTCAGCTGGCCAGGAAGAAGCGCTTTCGGATAGTGCGCTCCACCCCCGGCAGCCTGGCTGTGTGCAGGGCCTGCAGCAGCCCCGCCACCAACGCCCCTGGCCGGGCCTCGCGGAGCTTCATGAGCTGCCTCTGCAGCGTCTGCTGCAAGGACATGCGGTCCTCCCAGGGCCGACGGGGAGTCCATGCCCCCGGACCCGACAGGGCCTGCTGCAGCTGCAGGAGTCTCCTGAAGGAGACGTTCTGGAAAGCCACGAAGTCCACCAGGGCCCGCTCACACTCCTCGGTCCCTGTGGGAGGGTCAGGCAAGGTGGGGGTTGGGCCAGGTCCTGGGGTGAGGGCTCCCTGCAGACAGAGCCCTCCCCATGCCCCTGCTGGGACCCCATGCTAGGAGGGTAGGTGGGAGAGGCGGCCCTGGGATGAGGGGTGGGGAAAAGCATTGCTTGCCAGCTAAAGCCATCAGCACAGTGCACTCAATGGTGCCACTGCCACTGCCACTACCCATGGCTGCTCCGTGGGTTTTGGGGACCCTTGACCCCACGAGGCTGGAGGCACTTCCCAGACGCCCACTAAATGCCTCATGGCTCCAAGGGCTGGACTGGCCAAGAGTTGGGGCAGGGCACAGGCTGAGCTTGCTGCCCCATGGCCCATCCCCCCTCATCTGTGCCCCTCCCCCCGGCTCACCTGCCCCCCTCCAGTCACCTGCACCCCCTGGCTCTGGAGTGCTGAGTGGAGGGCCTGTGCAGCTGGTGCACATGGCGTCATGGAAGTGGGTGCCCGGCACGTTGAGGACCAGGCCCAGGGCCGTGCAGTTGCGGTGGGGCTGGCACTGCCCTGAGCTGGAGCTGTTGGCCGAGAAGGTGCCTGGGGGACATTGCTGGCACTGTGTGTCCTGGGTGGGGGTGCCTGGGGATGAGATGGGAGGACAGGGTCAGGGGGACCCGGGGCATCCTCATGGAAGGAGTCCTGGCCCAGCACCACCCACAGAGTGCCCAGCACCCACCAAGGGCAACCACTCCATAGCCAGGCGGGCAGGGCGTGTGCTCCAGGCAGAAGCCCGCGAGCTCGAAGAAGCCTGGGCGGCAGCGGCAGGCACGGTTGTGGACGACGGAGCAAGGCCGCGCCTCCTCCTCATGCTCCCCGCAGACCACGTTGCAGTACCGGCAGCGCTCCAGGTAGTTCCAGAACTGCGTGTAGTGGTGCGGCGGGCACTGGCGGCACGTCGTGGGGTGGTCCCTGCTGCACGGCCGGTGCACGAAGGTGCCTGGGGGGCACTGGCCACACGTCAGCCACTCCCGGGTGTCCACATCCCACCATGGGTAGGTAGGCACGTCTTCCGCTGGCCCGAGCACAGCCAGCATCAGCAGTAGGAACGGTAGTGCCCTCGGCAGGATCAGGGGCAGCCTCGCCTGTGCTTTCATGATCCTCCCTAGAGCGCGACTCAGCGGGGACACCAGTTCACCACAGCCCCAGCCCCACTCCTCCCAGCGGAAGCAGGCCCCGCCCACCCTACCTGCAGCCAACCAGAGTACTCCAGCTCTGGCCCAGCGCCTCCTATAAAGGCTGGCCTCGCCACACCCCGGGGAGAGGCCGGTGACCTCCCGCAAGCCATGTTCTGACCCAGTTAAATTTGTTTTTTAAATATATTTTTATTGATTTCAGGGAGGGAGGGAGGGAGAGAGATGGAAACATCAATGAGGAGAATCATTGATCAGCTGCCTCCTGCACGCCCCTTACTAGGGATTAAGCCTGCAACCCGGCATGTGCCCTTTACTGGAATTGAACCCACGACCCTTCAGTTTGCAGGCCAACTCTATCCACTGAGCCAAACCAGCTAGGGCATGTTCTGACCCAGTTTTGGGCACAGTCGCAGCACCCTCGCCTGGTCTGGCCCAGTCCCCCTGCCCCCCCAGTGCAGGAGGCAGTCCTATGAAGGCCCTCCTATCACCAGGCACAGCTTGTGATCCAGTGACAAAGCCTTTCAGGGAGGTATAAGGGGTGGGGGTGGGGGATGGGGAGGGCAGGTTCCTCTCCCCTCTGGTATCAGTGTCTTCCTGTCCAGCTGCAAGGATGGAGGCTGAGCCAAGTTTAGACAACGTGCTCACAGCACCCTCTCGTGGGACGGTGGGAGGGGGAGGGGGACCCCATGCAGACGCCCCATCCTTTCTCTCTGGCACCTCAAACCCCATCACCAAGCCCAGGCAATGCGAAGAGCATCCGCGTGTGCCAGCAGCTTTATTCAGCCCACCTCCAGGCACAGTCCCAGCATGCCAGGGAGCAGACCACCCGCTCCAGGTGCGGCCCAGCTGTGGACCCCTGAGCCCCCCACCCCCACAAGCCAGCAGCCAGGGAAAGTTCTGGGGAAGCACCTCGCCCACCCACCCCACGGTGGCTTCAGGGCTTCTCCCAGGTGGCCCGAGACCTGGTTGCTGTCTCAGGGGTGTCCCTTGTGCAGACCGGCCTCTCTGGCTGGTAGGTGGCTGGTGCTGGGCCTGGCCCACCCTGAGCCAGCAGACAAGTGTCCACGCTGCATCCAGGGAGGGTGGCCTCAGCCTTGGAGGCCCTGCCGTGCCCAGGCCTCTCAGAAGAGTGGCCGGTGGCTCTGCTTCCTGGTGGAGGCACCCCAGGCCCAGCACGCAGTGTCCTCCTGGGGGTCTGGGAAGACACAGAGGACGCTGGCCACACCTGCCAGGCACCACTGCCCACCCCCCCCAGAGGGGTGGTGCCCGGCAGCCATGTCCCTGAGGGCTGGTCAAGACCTGGGTGCTGCTGTTAGCAGGAGGGACATGGGGAAGGAATGGCTTCCTCTGCTGGCAGCCAGCACCCACAAGACCTACCCACTCAGACTGTCTGTCCGTGGGGTCACGGGGGTCCAGCCGTGGCCTGAGGAAGGAGGAGATCTTGCTCTGGGTCCTCCCTAGTCTCTCTGGCTCGGAGGGGCCTGGACACAGAGGAGTGAGTCTGAGGGGTGGCTGGTGCGCCTCTGCTGCCCGTGCCCCGCAAGGCTGCGGAGGCTCTGGGGTGACAGGGTGGGGGTGGCAAGAGCACCAGCAGGTCACCCTGGGGGTGAGGATGGGAAACACCTCGGAGCTCCCTTCCTGGGGTCCCGGGGGCACAGTGCCTGTGTCCGGGGTGGGCTGGCCGGTCAGATCTGCACACGTCTGCCAGAAGCGCAGCTTGTGGTGTGGGCGCACGAACATGCTGAACCCTGCGGGGAGGGGTGCTCAGGACCTGCCCCCATCCCCCGAGTCTCCTCCCCCAGAGCCCCTCCAAGTCCCCTCCTCAGAAACTTACTCTGCAGCAGCGGCAAGTCCTCAGGCCTCGAGGTGGTCAGTGCTGCCACCACAGCCACCACCTTCTCAAAGTCATCATCCCGCTTGTACGTGGTCAGTGCTGCCAGGAGCTGACTGCAGCCTGCAGCCCCCAGGGCCCTGCGGGCATCTGCCAGGTAGGTGCTCACAGCAGGCTGGCTCGGCTTCTCCGCTTGAGGGACGCCACACCCCTCTTGTGGACAGAGGCCAGTGTCTCCTGAAAGGGAGGGAATACGGACTGTGTCAGGGCCCATAGCCCCCAGGAGGCTCCTCCCCTCCGAGGTCTAGCTCTGCTCCTGGCTCTGGTCAGAAGCCTCTTCAGGGACCATGTACCTTCCGGTGGTGGCCTGGAGGCCAGGTGAGGCTGGCCCTGGTTCAGGTGCCCTCCAGTGTCCAGCTGCCTGGCCGCACTCTGGGACAGGGTCATCTTGGGGACAGGCTCCCTCCTTCCTGAAGGAACATGGAGACACAGGAGTCATCCAGCTGGTCTCAAAGGGTCCGAGTGCTCCCTAGGGAGGAGGCAGGTCTGCCCAAGGGGAGGCTGGGCTCACAACCCTCCTTGGACCTGACTTGCACAGCCCCGTGGACAGCTGGTTGCCACAAACAAGGGAGGGTGGCCTCAGCCTTGGAGGCCCTGCCTGGGCAGAGGGACGTCCTGTGGCACCACACCCAGCGGGGAGTGACTCTGGGGCTGGAAAGTCCCCCCCCAGGGCAGTGTCCCTGAGGAAGTCCCACCCAGGGCAGGCTGCTCATGGACAGGGACTGGCTCCCTCACTCTGGAGGTGCAGGGCCCACTCTGGGGGGAGGGACAAGGGGCTCCAGGACCCCGGCGCGGATAAGACGACAGCTGTACATGCTCTGGGGGCCGACATGGTGCCACCCTGCAGTGATCCATTGGCCCCTGTAGAAACAGGGAGGCTGGACCAAGCTAGGGCCCACCTCAGGACCCCAGGTGCCAGCCCCTGAGGGTCTGCCTGGGGAAGGCCCCACTCACCACCGGGGTCCGGGGCTGGCTGTGTCCACTGCCCACGCGGAAGGCTGTGCTCAGGCAGATGGCTACAGCCTCGGCCCGTCAGCTGGAGGCAGAGCTCCTCAAATCGCTGCTTGTGGTGGGGCCGCACGAACTGGTAGAAGCCTGTTGGAGGGGGTGTCTGGGTGCGCAGGTACCACGCGCTGCAGCCACCATCCGGACCTTTGCTAGGGCGCAGGGACAACCCTGCCCCGAGGTGACCCACCCGGTGTCCTCTGCCCCACCCCGTGACTGCGGCATCCCCAGGCACCTTGGAGCAGGCTGTGCTTCTTGGGGTCTTGGGCAAAGAGGGGGATGAGGTGGTCTACCAGAGCCTGGAAGTCGTCCGAGCCCTTGTACTCCTGCAGGGCCTGCGTAAAGGCGGCAAAGCTGGCCCGGCTCAGCGCCTGCTTCACGGCCACCATGAAGAGCTTGGCTCTGTCCGCCTGCGCACCTGCCGTCAGCCCCTCCTGCTGGACACAGCCAGGAACCCATCAGACACACCTGACTCTTCAGACCCTTCACTGTTCCAGGGTGTGGCTGGCGGTGGCAGGGGTCCTGCTGAAGGCAGCCAGGAGGGGCTGCAGGGAGGCCACGCCTCTCAGGACCAGCACAGGTGGATCTGAGGCCCTGGGCTGCACCTCCAGCCCCGCCTCCTGCCCCCACTGGGTTCCAGGATGGGGCATCCAGGGCCAGTACAGCTGCAGCGGGCTCTCTCAGCTCAGAGGACACGCCTGGCTCGGAGGTGGGCAGCTCACAGCAAGGGACACGTCTCAAACCCAGGGCTGGCAGTGTCCTGCTCCATTCCCGCTGCGCCCTGGGCCCTAACATGGGGCCTAGATGGGAAGCGTGGAAGCCAGGCTTTCTGGTCTGCCCAGCTCAGCCCTCAGAGCACAGGGAGGCCCCTGGCACCCAGCCCACTTCCTGACACCCCCGCCTGGTTTTTCCCAGAAGCAAGGGGAATGGACAAAGGCAGTGCGTGGGGCTTTCCGAGGTTCTTGGCCCAGACTGTCTACTCAGTTGCTCTCAACTGCCTTCATCTGAGGATGGGGACACAGACCCTCCCCATGTGCGGGCACATGGCCTCTACCTCCTGCCAGGGCCCAGCACTGCCCTGGTGAGCCAGCCTGGCGACAGGCCCGCCCCAGTGCAGCCTCCAGGGCCGGGCCTGACTCCCGCCTGCTGGGGGCAGGGCCTTCTGTGGAAGGAGCCCACGTGTCTGAAAGGCCCAACCTGACCACAAATGTGCGGGACTCGGCGTGGGTCCCTGGACAGGAGCCCCTTGGCTGGCACCAGGCCGCGCTGTTCTCGCACACTTTGTGCTCCCACCGTGAAAGGCTGAATGAGGAGAGGGGGCCTGTGCAGGCCTGGCCCCACGAGCCTGGGCGGGGAGGCCAGTCGGTACTGTCAGGACCAAGACGCAAATCTGCACCTCGCTGTGAATGTCCCAGCTAAGTGAAGGCGGGGCCAGGCAGGCACCGCAGCCACACCGCACACTCAGCTCCTGCACCCCAACACCACTGCCCAGCCGAGCCCCCCACCCCTAAGGGACAGTGGAGTTAGAACGGTGCAGGCTTGGCCGGCTCACACCCCACACTCTGCTGGGTCAGGGCCACCGGCCGTGGACAAGAGCACTAAGAGCCACAACAGCCTGTGGCTCCCACCACATCCCCAGGTGGGTCTGGGCGGCTCACCCACCTGGCAGCTGACCAGCCTGATCTTCTTCCTGCCTCCTCTCTGCTCCGCCACAGACCTCTTCTCACCCGGGAGGGACGTGCTGGAGCGGCACTGTGCCTGGGGGGTCACACAGTTGTGGTCCCAACCCAGGCCCTCGGGCCCCAAAGCCCTGCGTGACACTTTGGGGCCACAGTGAGGTCAGCTGGGGGCAGAGCCCGAGAGCAGGTGCGGGCACGTGGTCTTGCGGTAACTGACAGGGCTAATGGGAAGGGAACAGGGGATGCCACCCAGCAGGACACAGGGACCTCCAGGTCACAGTGATGGACTTCTGGGCGAAAGCCGCTGGGCAGGAGCTGCCACGGCCAGGCTCCCGAAGGGCGCAGCAAGGCCGGGCCCCAGAGGACCATGTGGAAACCACAGGGGGCAGTGGAGCCCCAGCGAGGGGGTGTGGGGGAGCACCAACCAGGGGCTTAGGTGTGGGCTGAAACCCCAACCACCTGCCCAACAAGGGGACTTATGGGGTGAGTGTGGAGGTGCCCGAGAACAGACAGGCAGTGCCTGGGGTCTGTGTCCATCTCTGGAGCCCCAGCACCCATACCTCCTCCTCCCCAGGCCCGGCCTGCTCCCCGGGCCTTCGGGCCAGCTGCTCGCTGTGCTCCAGGGCGGCCAGCAGCCCCACAGGCCTTCGCTGGGTGTGAACCGACTCCTGCTCGTACTCCACACACAGGCTGCCCTCGGTGTCCCCGCCGTCCCCGGAGGCTGGCAGTCCTGGGGGAGGGCAGGGTGATCAGGTCCCCGCAGCAGTCAGACCCACGTGCTCTGGTCTTCAGGCCCTGCCTGCCGCCAGCCTTGTGGGAGCAGCCCCCAGCCACGTCACCTGGCCACACGCACCTGGAGGCCTCCGCCTCAGGCTGGCGACGTGCAGGTCCAGACTCTTGGCTTTCTTGGTGGAGAGGGCCCCGAGTGACACGGCCACTGGGACGGTGCCTTCTCCCGGGCCCGGGCTCGGGGTGGCAGCCAGGGGCGCCGGCATCTGGACAGTCACAGGTGGTTGGGTTGGGGGTCCCACCCAACTCCTCCCCTGGGGAGGGCGAGGGGGCACAGCCAGTGGGCATTCGGGACTCACTGTTTTTTGAGCCACCCGGAAGAACTGGGCCACATCTCGGATGACGTGGCCGAAGTGGTCGTATACTTGGACGTGGGGGCGCACCCAGGATGGCAGCTGGGCTCTGGCATCCGCACTGGTGAACCTGGGAGGGAGGGGCCATCAGCCCGAGGCCCGCCCACTCCAGCCGGGGCCCCATGCAGTGAAAGGGCCACACCTGTGGTCACAGAGGAAGACGGCCCCATAGTCGTGGCGATGCCGGATGACCCTCCCGATGGCCTGGTTCACAGCCCTGGACGCCTGCTGCCGGTACCAGTCTTGCCCAGAAAGGAACTGGGGGAGGGGGAAGAGCTGGTCACAAGGTCTCCAGGCCACCAGGTCCCCGCCCACCACGTGGCACCTCACCTGGCCCGAGGCCCCACTCCGGCCCTTCATCTCATCTAGGAACTGCATCTTGAGGATGACCCGGGGGTCCTTGCGTGGGGGGTACGGGAGACCCGTGACAACCACCCCTCGGCCATTCACATCTGCGAAGTCCAGCCCCTCGCTGGCCTGGGGAGAGCACAGTCTTTACCCACAAGCCCCACAGGAGCCTGCGGACCTTCCCCAGGGTCGGCCCCGACCCTCACGACCACAAGCTCCCAGGTGTGGACAGTTAGGGACAGACCTCCAACCCTGGGCCAGGCCCTGGCTGGGGTCCACACACCCAGAACCCCATGACCACTTGTCTGTTCTTGGAACCTCCTCCTCCTTCCCACCCGTGCCCACCCCGGCCGGCCCCAGCCAGGGTCAGGGGGCTGCCCTCCAGACTCGTATTTGCTGGAAGTGGGGCCCAAGAGAAGGGACCGGCCTGTTCCACCCACAGCGCCGTCCCCAGGCCCCAGCCATGAGCTCCTGTGGGTGAGGAAGACAGGCAGTGCACGTGGGACCAGACTCACCTTCCCCCGGCACACAGCCAGGAAGGCGGCCCCTCGGGATCCCGGGGAGGCGACAGCTGCGTAGTAAGCACCCATCACCTGAAGGAGAGACGGGTCACCCGGAGCAGGGCCCCGGCCCCCGCACCTCCACGAGTGAGGCCCGTGCACCCTCCTCTGGCAGCCGCTTCATGGCTGGGTTCCCAGGCTGACCTGCACCCAGCACCCAGGGCTGCTGTTTCCCAGAAAACACAGAGCCGGGCTGAGAGCCTTTCCTCCCAGGCACCTGCTGCCACCAGCCCTGTGCCCTAGCTTTCCAGGAGGCAGCAGGCCCAGGCCAGCAGGACCGCAGCCCCGCACCACGGCCCTGGCCAGCCTGGGGCACCCATGGGGCAGTGGAGCCCCAGCGAACTCGGACCTCTGAGAAGCTGCCCTTGCTCCTCGGCTCCACAAACAAAGGCTTCAGGGCCTCGAGCTTCCTGGCACAGTCCCGGGCCTGCGGCAGGAGGTGGAGGGGACAGTCAGGCTCATGAGGCCCGGCAGCCACGGGCCGCACCACAGCCACGCTGGCCATTGGGGCTCCCCTCCCACCCTAGGACACACGAAGGGAACGCACCCGCCAGAACTCCAGGCTTTTCTCCAGGACGGGGTAGGAGGGGAAGAAGACCAGGAGCCCGTGGGGGACCACGCGCGTGATGTTGACTGGAAGTGAGTGGCCATGGTCAGTGGGAAGGGCGTCCAGAGGCCCCGCCGGCTGCCCCAGGAAGAGAAAGCAGGGAAGGGTGCAGGGCTGGGCAGGGGCGAGGCAGGCTCCCCAGACACCATGGATGGGTGGGGTCCAGGATGGGACAGCCAGGCCAGGGCTTCCCGGGAACTCACCTAGCGCCTTCCCCAGAGAGGACAAGCACTCGTCAGAGAACCTGCATGAAGCCAGGAGGCTGCTGCCACGTGGGTCCCAGCACTGGGCCCACCCACTCGCCTCCCTAGGCCAGGTCCCCCTACCGTTTGTCAAAGGCGGAGCTCAGCTGGGCTCCATCAGGGCCTCTGGGGACAATCCCCACCCAGATCTGGTGCTTGTCAATGACGTGCGGGTTCTCCAAGCAGACTGGGAAGGGGCTGGAGGCAGCGGTGCAAGGCAGGGATGTCCCCCGTTAAGTTCTGAACCCCCAACACCCAGGCAATCACCCCCCAGCCCGGGCAGGGGCAGCCTTACATCTGCATCTCCAGGGCGAAGGAGGACACCGGGGCCAGCGTGCCGCTGGTGAGGAGGAGCGTGCGCACGCCCTGGCGGACCAGCTCGCGCATGCAGCAGCCGGGGCTGAAGCACCAGTAACTGAGCACCTTCCCTGCAGGATGAGCAGGAGGCTGGGACTCAGTCACCCACAGGGAGGCCCATGGCCGCCACCCACAAGTCTTCCACAGGCAGCCGCTGGGTGCACCGAGTGTGACCGAGGGGCCTGCCCGGGGGCCTGGGGAACAGGAAGTTGAGCCAGAGAAGCTGGGACAGACAGTGGGTCACCTCCAGAGAGGCCGGCCAACCCCAACCCCAGACATGGAGACACAGGCCACAGGCACCCCAGGAAGGAAGCGGAGCCCCACCTCCGACACCCGGCCTCCAGGGACACAGATGCTGGAGCTGCAGAGAGGAGGCAGCCCAGGCCTGGAAGGCAGGAGCAGCAGGGGTGCCACCCGCTCACAGGGAGTGGCAGTCCCTTTTCCTGGCCCGCTGGGAAGGAGACCAGGCCCCACCCCCTTCCCCCAGGCAGACACGCCTGCCTCCCACTCGCTGCTCCCCACGCTCAGAAAATGACTTCAAACAGGGCTCTAACGTCAAGACTAGGTCACAGGTCAGCAGGAACACTTCCAGAAAAGAACGAGCCACTTTCTGGGGCCAGAGACCCTTTTCCACTTTCAGGATGGGATCTTCCCTGCGACGTGGAGGACGAGGCGGCGGGAGCAGCCGGCATTACCCTGGGCCAGCCCTGCATGGACATCAAGGGGCCATGCACTAAACCCCGACAAGCTCAGGGAGGCTGCAGGGCAGCCCCACAAACTCGGAACCGGAAGTAACCACCAGGACGGTCGGAACATACAGATCCCAGACTAACAGCGGGTCCCTCCGAGGCCTGCAGCTTCCTTGACAAAGGCCAGTCTTCCCCTTGACTAAGCCTGGTGTGGTCTGTTCGCATCTACAGCCGACCTTGGGATGGCGGAGTCATCTCCCTGGCAGACCCCTCCTTGTCACCTTGTCCCCCTCATACATCTCTACGTGCAGTAAATTTTAACAACCCTGTACCCACCAATGTAAAACTATGTGTCTTATTTTTTTATCCCCTCCCAGAGGCATCCCCACTTTGCTTCTCCCACCTCCCTACCCTACCACCGATGGATCTCATGTATGAAATAAGCTGCAGAACCGCCATTCTCCCGGAGCATTTTCTCAATCCCTTCAGATTTTGCTTCCCGACAATTGTCAGTTTGGCTCAAACAAACTTATAAAAATTCTCTACAGGTTTGGATGTTTCCTACATCGCCATCTGCCACAGCAGACAGGTGCCCTAGGGGAGCGTGTGGGCCCTGGAGCCAGGCCTCAGCCTGCACGCCTCTGTGCACGGCGCCCCCCCCACTCCCCCCGCCCGGCCAGCTTTCAGGGAGGCTGGAGATGATCCAACTTCCTATAAACACCCACCCAGGAGTGGCTGCTTCTGAGAATCCTCTCGCTCTCAGAGGTACAGGAACACGGGTCACTGCACCCACTCACCCTCCGCACCTACACCTGCCAGGGCTAAGGCCCAGCTGGCCTCCCGAGATCATGGTGCTGTGTGAGGGGCGAACTGTCCCTGCTCAGCTCCACTAGACAGCAGGCGGCAGCCCGAGGAGAGTGGAGGAGAGTAGAGGGGTGCTGAGAGCTCACCTGGAGCAGGTGGCAGTGGTGGGCCGCCAGCAGCACTGGGGACTGCCCAGGATGGGGGTGGCCTTGACCACAGCACCATCACATTACCCTGGAGCTGTTGGGCTATGAACCCCACCCTAAGTCTAAGTCCCCAGGGGCAGTGGCCAGGACTGGGCACCTCAGGAGTCTGTGCCTGAGCCGACACAGGCCACCCCACACCAGGAGCCACGGTGTGCTGCACAGACCTAGGACCCAGGGCAGCAGGGGAAGCTGATATGAAGAGGGCAGGACTCAGACAGGCCTGAGCTCACAGAGGGTGTCAGGGAAACGCGGTCCGCACCCGGGGACCTGAGTGATATCGGCCAGCAGACCCCTCCGATGCAGCCCTGACGCCTGTGGAGTGGCCTCAGCCTGAACCTGCCCCACCTCTGTCCGCCTGGTTGGACAGTGTGAAAGCGCAGCACACCGTCAGGGGCCGGTGACGCTTTTCAAAACGTCCTGGGTGGCCCTGGCTGGTTTGGCTCAGGGGATAGAGCGTCAGCCTGTGAACTGAAGGGTCTCGGGTCTGATTCTGGTCAAGGGCACATGTTCAGGTTGCGGGCTCAATCCTCAGTAGGGGGCGTGCAGGAGGCAGCCGATCCATTATTCTCTCTCATCATTGATGTTTCTATCTCTCTCTCCCTCTTCCTTCCTCTCTGAAATCAATAAAAATGTTTAAAAAAAAAGAAAGAAAACATCCCGGCTGGTGTGGGAGGCCTGGCGTGACTCAGGTGGTGCCACCCAGCCTCCTCGCAGGCCTCTCTAGCTCTGACAGCTTGGGTGTGCCCCTCCCTGGGGTCGGGCAGGGGAGCGTGTCCGGTCCCCCAGGCGCCATACCTCGCCTTCTGGACGCCGTGGAGCTCCAAGCATCTGACCGATGAGCTGTCCCCCGGTGGCTGGTGTCAGGGTGGATGTGTACCTGGAGGGAAGAATGGACAGGTGTCCTGAGCCCCCCACCTGTAGCCCCCCTTCTGGAGGCGGCCCCCATCCCATAGGACAGAGACCCCTGCCCATCGCCCCTCATGGAGGCGGCCCCCACCTTGTAGGACTGAGAGGCTTCGGGCCCCACTGAGGAGCTGCCCTCGGCAGGGTCTGTACTGAACACCATCTGAAAGGAGATGAGGGCAAGGTCAGCAGGACACACCACACAGGACAGACAGACACTCAGGGTGTCGTCATCACCTGCCCCTGCCTTCCTGCCAATAGCACCTCTGCCTGTCCCCTCCCCTCAGGGCCCCCAGCTGGGAGATGCACAGGAGTTTCAGTCACACCAGCTTGAGTCCCCTGTGACCTGCCCATGGTGCCTGCCGTGCTGTCTCCCCCTCTTCTCCACTCCCCACCCTCCCGTGACCCCTTCCACCCTGGAACAACCTCGAGTGGGTGTGCATGCAGCACTGTCTAGTGGCTGGGCCTGTCCTGCCTGATGCCCAGTGGGCCTGTGCATAGTGGCATCCGTGCCTGGCAGCACCAGCATCCTGTCGACTGGTCCCACACGTGAACAGGTCACACACCATCTCGGGGCCCCACATCCTGCCTGCTCTGTTCCTTTGAAGCTGGCCTTGTTCAGTCTCCAGCCTGGACCAGCTTTAAACCCTCTACCCTGCACAAACCATGAGCTTCCGTGTTTCCCACAGGCTGTCCATCTGACCAACCCA